ACACAGGTTAAGAGCGTGCTTGATCCTTGTGAGGATGAGAATGATGGCAATCAAGATGATGTTATGAGCTTGGGAGCTGATTCTGCCGAGAGAGATGACAGTGCATCTGATAGCGAGGTGGAATATTGGTTCTCCTTGCCTCAATTATTTTTATAAAGCTCGACTTATTTGCTATCCTTTGAAGTATGTTCATGCACTGACTTTGTCAAATATCCATCAATTTCAGTTCAGTGACTCTGATGAAGACCAATATATAGTTGCACCAGTTGGTAAGGCACATTCCTCTATTCGATCCGTTTTAAACATGCATTCGTTCTGTCAATGATATTTTAAAATCACAAATTTATAAAGACAAGTTTTTTGATCTTCACAGAAAAGCAAAATGTTCAGGATAAAGGTGATATGGTTGATGAAGGTACTTCTATTTGCAGCAAATACTATCAACTTTCTTTCTGAAGCTGGTTATCAAGAACTCTATGTGTTTATTGTTTTTTCAGATGATACTCAAGATCCTGCAGAAGATGAACAACAATTTGACCGGGTTAAGGAATGGATCAGCACATACCACCTCGACAGAGTTGAAATGACAGATGTTCTCTCAAATTTCCCAGACATCTCAGTGGTAAGATACGTCTGCTGGTTTTCCTTTCAAGTGTCAGTTTCTCTATCATTTGCTAGCCAGTCCTACACCTAACATTGGATCTTGATTGTGCAGGCCTTAGTTGAAGGTAATGAAATGACATTTTTAAGCAAATGATGGTGTTCGCAACCTGAATTTCTGTAGAGAACAGTGATGTCATACCCTAGTGCCAAATCCCAAAGTTTTTGTGCCAAATAAAATAATCAGATAATGTATTCTTTCTGTTTTTTAAGCTGTCCAAAGTATCTTCATCTTCTTTTTCAATTCCAGATATTTTGGAAAAGCTTGTTAAAGAAGGAATTCTTTCAAGTGCTGGCACAGACACTTACATCATTAAGAAGCAAAAGGTTTCTTATTGTTTTCCTTAATTCATTAATTGTCTACATCTTTACTCTCTTGAATCATAATATATCCTTTTCCAACACCTACAATCATATTCCTCAAATGCAGAAATTCGACTATGAGTTTGATGTTGTGAAAGAAGAAAAAGAGGGCCAACAAAATCAAAATGGCAACCAATCTCAGCATGGCAAGGGTGAAGATTACATGTACATGAAGGTGAAACCTGATTAATATCCTTTGAATTGAGCTTAAAAGTATCTAGTGGATGTGTCATACATCCATCCTCTTCAGTTAATTTGGTTCATATCTATTAACTGTATGTGGATTACACATGTCTTGTAGATTTTGCCCACCTACTTTTCCTCGTTCTCTACCAGGGATTGTGATTCACTCTACTGCTTTAGCTCGTGACTTCTCCTTCGCATTCAGTAATATATATGAAGTGATTATACAGCTCTTAAGTTTTACATCGTACAGTCAGTCTGGGAGCTTGAAGAAAACATTTTTGCAAATACAGAGAAGTAATATACTCTGTCCTCTCTTAAGGTTTTTGGAAAGAGTACATATCCCAATAATGTCCTACTGATTGAGGAGACTGAAGTTTTGGATTGTCATGTTGTAACTTAAACAAAGGAGGGGAATCCGGTGAAGTAGAAAGAATGAATAACAATTTTCCCTTTTAGGAGGAGTATGAATAAAAACTCCTTTTCAACTGCTCAAATAAGAATCTTGTGAACAGTTCGCTAATACTGATTTGCATGAAGTTGGATGTTACTTCCTGGATTGCATGTTAATAAAAACAGTCTCTTGTTTCAGGCTTTGTTTCATGCTCTTCCAATGAACTATGTAACTGTTGCCAAGCTCCAACGTAAACTAGAAGGGGAAGCCAACCAAACTGCGGTGAAGAAGCTAATTGATAAAATGACACAAGATGGATTCGTTGAGGCTAAGAGCTACCGCAGACTAGGTACCCTCTGGCATCTGGCAAACCATATTTCCTGCTTTGTATGGAGCAGCAAGACTAATAGTACCAATTACCCAATGATGGACTGATTTTGTCGTTGCAGGGAAGCGTGTGATCCAGTCTGACCTAACTGAAGAAAAGCTGGCTGAAGTTAAGAAGGTCTTAGCAAAAGACAGTATGGTAATAGTCTTGAATTAAATATATGTTTAACAGTTTCTTTCACTTCTACTATTTTAACTCATCTTTAATTACGATACATGGTCAGGATGTCGAAATGCATGAATCAGGTAATGATTCTAAGTTCTAACCATCTGAATTTTGATAACGTTTAGTCAAAGTTACTTCTATACTAATCATAAAATTAGACCACAAAAATCTGATATTACTTTATGTCTACTAGTCAACAACTTTAGAGATCTATCCACTTGTGGGGCTCTCCACTCTATTGGATCGGATCTCACACGTACTAGAGGAAAAGCTGATGCATACCGGAATGGATCTGTCATGAGTGATCAGACTGTCTCCAAGAGAAAGGAGCATGAAAACACACCATCAAGCAAAGCTGAGGTTGGTTCATTTGTGGATTACCTCAATAATCTGCAGTAATTAATTAGTTGATCACCTAACAGACTGCAGTAAGTAACAAATAGTTATATATGATGTTTGTGCAGCCTGTAGCTTCTCGGGAGAGTTTTATCCCTGGCAAGGAGAATGGAAGAACTAATGGAAAACCAAACCAACCTGATGAGTACGAAATTGTCTGTAGCAGGTCCAGTCAGGACAAACGTCGTAGGAAAGCAAGCATGGTACGACATCCTTCAGTCTTTCCAGAAAATCTTAGTTAAGAATCCTGGCTAGCTGAAGTGTAGTATTTGGGAAATATTTATAATTATTCTTCTGTTCCCTTTTTCTTTTCTATCTACAGGTAAAAGAACCTATTCTTCAGTATGCAACACGCCAAAATTCTCAAGTTGTTTGATGGTTCCTTACGCTTTGGTGGTGAAAAACATGGGTAACTTGCAAGCTTGCTATAGTAGTAGTTTATTAGTTGGTAACTTACTAGTAGTTGTACTTAAGTGAAACTGTGAAAGCAATAACCATATTTTGATAGCGAAGGACATCAAAGAGTGGTGTGAGCTTCAATTCTCCAGATGGATTGAAGTTCGAAAAGGATAATAGTACAAATTTTGCTGATATGACAACGAAACGACTTTAGTATAAAGATTCTACTAATAGCTTCTTTTGTAGACTTCTTCTTTTGAGTTCATTTGTTATAGTATTTTTTTTTTTTTTTGCTAGATACAGCTATTTTCTTGGTTTCCAGGGAAGATAATTAAACGAGCACAAAACTTATCATTCTATGTAACTTTGTAAGTCTTTTAATTTTTGTGTGGCTATAGATCCTCAGAGTACTATAGAAAGGTGTTTTTTTTCTAGACTAACTAAAAAAGAGAATGTCACGTAAATTGGAACGAAGAGAGTACTTTATTAGGAAGCAACAATATACTAAAAATCAAAATATGGACAATCGGATGTCACCAAAAAAAAGTCAATTACCAATTTTTAACTGCTTAACAATCACAACACACTCCCAATAACTCAAACATAAATCACATACTCAAAAATGTGCTGACGCTCTCACCATCGAAACACGAAACTTGAAAAAGTGTTGACAAATATTTTGAGATGGAGAAAATATTTAATTTGAATGCACTTGGAATTTTGGGGTGGACGTTTACTAATTTTGGAAGACTTGACTTGAACAATGAATTTAATTAAACAAAAAAGGCATTAAAAAAAAGAGAATTAGTCATATAAAAAAAGGAAAAAACAAACTGATCCAACTAATTTTTCGTGTACATATATACTGCAAATAAGGAAAATAAAATAGAAAACTAAATTGGTATCAATCTGTATACCAAAAGATTTCGGGTTCGAGTCTCCTTGAATACAGATGGAACGCTTTACTTTTTGACGTGAATTCATACTTACTCGGGCTCCAATGTGGGTACCGGAACCAAAAAAAATAATATTTAGTTAAAAAATAGATGTAATTCATTAAATAACATAGAAATATTTGATAATTTATTTCTACAAATTAAAGTAACTAAAATAAATGTACTACTAATTACCACTAGAATAATTTCTTATTCTCATATATATGCGTGTGGATATTCAGCATCAGGCGTATCAAAGTAATTCAATTCTTCATCAGTCAAGACTTTAAACGGTTCATCCAATGATGGTAGTTGCCAAATTTTTGCAGCATATAACCATCCATCATGATCTCTCAACGAATTTGAGACACAATCAGAAACTATATTCTCGGTTGTTATAGGAATATCTTGATGATTTTTACCTAAATTAACTTTCTTTGTAATGAAACACACAACATAGTCTTCATGTCTAATTTCGCCGCGTTCTCTTAGTACATCCATTGCAGTTTTATCAAGACAATATTCTTTCACAATCCAGTATACGCTTTCTTTATCTTCAATGCTACTTTCTTCATCAAAACGAAAAGTTTTCTTGTACCCAATCCTTGATCTTTCCTTGTCCAAAATTTCTTTACTATTGTCTCGTCCTTTCCATTTGCGACCTCCAACAATTGATCTGTTGAAGTTTTTACCCTTGATCGTTTTTCTCTTTAACTGAGTAAAGAAATAGTTTACATGATTATTACCTGAATTTTGGAATAATTCAGCTGGCTCTTTGTTACCGTATAAGTCTATATATGGAATATCATGGTATTCGATAGGCATTCCACGAATGAATTTCATTAAACACCTTATCAGATCTTCATCCGTATATTTCATCCCTATAAGTTGAAAATAGTGTGAACTCCAACTTAAAAAGACAAAAATAAAGAAGAACATGGAGAAATATTTTAAAGCAAGAAAATATATATAGAGAGAGTATATTTCCTAATTTGTGTAGGAAACTAATTGTAATTGTAAAAATAAATTTGAAAAAATTAACCTTATTAATTGGAGTTGTAATTTATTTTGAAAAACTTAACCTTATTCAAATAGGAAAATAATTGGAGTTATAATTTTATAACCTTATTCGAATAGTAACCACCAAATTTACACATCCTTCAAGAACCAGCCTTTCAAGATTAGGGAAAATCTGGGTCCTTACTAGCTCACTAAGGTTGATGTATTTCAATTTTCCTAGAACCTGTCATAATGCAATAAGTCAGTTTGGACGAATATTCAATCGTTATGTGAATGCTAGAAAAAGGAATAATATATAACCTTGGAGCCTTACCAAAGTTGTATGATTCGACTATATTTCTGTTAGGTTTTATTTGCCCTGATTTCTTACCATAAATAGATTTTTCGTATAGGAAAGAGTTTTAATATTTTGACTAGTCCTTTTCTTGTAGGAAAGGTTTTAAGATTCTATGAATATAGGTTTGTTCCTTCTAACTTAATCAACATTCACAATATAGTCCTAAGGTTTTGAGAATTTTGGTTAATTATGGGGGAAAATTTGTGAACCTCATTGTATTTCGAGTGAATTGGTTGATGTTATTTCTCTCTATATTTTGTACTCTCATATTTATAGTGGATTGTTCATCTACTTTGTGGACGTAGGTCGATTGACCGAACCACGTTAAATCTTTGTGTCTATTGATATATTTCTCGTTTGTCTTCTACTCATGGTCTTTCGAGATTTGATTTGCTAGCTTCCGCATTACACCTGCTTATTTTCAGTCCTAACATTTTTAACTTCAAACCAACAAGCTTTTTGAAGTTTCCTCGCTAAAGCATCTAACTGATCAACATCATCAAGAACAAGAAGAACCTTTTTGTACTGTAATCTTTGTATCTGCATATTCCAACAAGATTTTCAGCGTTTTTCGTGCGTCTCTGACTACACAATCTAGCCGTTATATCTTCCACAATTTGCTTTATATCACTATAGTTTCATGTCTGCATACCACAAAAGATATCAATGATTTTATTTTGTATGCTTTAGTCACTAATTTTGGTATGATCGTGGTATTTGAGCTAGTTAGCAATGTTTTTATCTCTGAATCCGAAATCTCATCCTTCTCAATCCGCTTCATTGACTCTTAGGCCACAATAAATATGTGAAATTTTGAACATATATTTGGACTACTTGTCCCTTGCCAATTTGGTAACTTTTAGCCTAATTACGGTTAAGGACTTGAGAGTTAAGGGGTTAGAATAATTCAAATAGAAGAACGTCCTAAACTATTCGAAACAAATAAAAATATCCCTCATTTTATAGCTTGAATACCTAAACTTTATTCCTCATGTTGTAATTCCCCCTAGTTTCCCTTACTCCCAATTTAAAGGGGGAAATTCCTCATTGGCTAAGACATCATTTGTTTGCACTTAATGAAGATGTGAATCTTAATCACTCAGATTCTGAATCTTAATCATTCAGATTCAGCCCATTGATTTCATTTGTTTCTTTTTTTAAAAAAGCCTCTAAAAACAACTGAACGAATCAGATCTGTATTCGATATTCGCATAGGTGGAAAGTAGAAAGTATTCAAAGATAGAATTGAATTGTGTACAAATTGGTCAAAATTATTTTTTCTTCATACATACCAAACACACTCTTGGAGTAAGTTATTTGCTATTCAAACATGTGTAAAGTATTCAAGAAATAATTAAATTATGCATAAATTGATAAAAACATATTTTCCTCAAAAATGTCATGTAAATTGAAATGAAGAGAGTATTATATTAGGAAGCAACAACATACTAAAAATAAAAATATGGACAGTTAGATGTCACCAAAAAAAGGTCAATTACCAATTTTTAACTGCTTAACAATCACAAGACACTCCCAATAACTCAAACATAAATCACATACTCAAAAATGTGCTGACGCTCTCATCATCCAATTAAAGGTTCATTTAGGCATAGAAAAAGTAACTGTTTGTTGAGCTTCTACAGTCACAGTAATTCCTCTCCCAAATAATGTTTCATCAAAATCTTCATTACTTGTTTCTCCAAAGGAATTGACATATCCTGGTTCATCATCTGGTGGCAGCCTAGAAAACGATTTATGTCCGTGACGTTTCCTTTTCATATACTTTGATCCATCAAAGATTACATGAAGCAATCCCATCTTTCCAGATTGAGAGGTGCCATTTTGTATCATCAACTCCTCATTTATAATATCGTTCTCGTACAGAAGATGCATTCCCCAACCTTTGATTGCAACATTTGCATCAGTCCCACAAACCTCGATTTGAATCCAGTCATTAGGATTGCAAACACATTTCTCGTACGTTGACCAAAACTCATCAAATGATGTATAGGCCAGGAGAGTGTGCCCTGAATCAGGACATTCCTCACTTCCTACTGAGCCAATACTTTTAAAAAGCAGACAAGTCTTTCCATCGTGCCTTACGAGCTTAAACATGACTTGAAATCCCGGGATTTTTTTAAGGTAACCATGATTCATACAAGAAGGTTCCTTAAAACTGTCAAAAACAACACAAAGAGCAAAGCCCATGAATTTGTTTGTGTACCAATTTTTAGGTAGCTTCACTGCTAATGAAGGACCCAAGTTCTTGTACATAAACCAGTCAGGAACTTCAGATCCAGGGATACATATACTGAATTTGTCATCCACCATCGATAGTCCCTATATCATGCAATATATGTTATAGATTCTTGAGTTAACGAACGTGTACATATATAAAGAGATATTTACTTACCTTGAGCATGTGATTCCACAATGAATCAATAATAGCAACATCAGGTTCATTTTTGACAAGTTGGTGACATTGAGTAAGTGAAACTCGATACAACATTGGATATTTGCTTAATTGATCAATGCCAGTACGCCTCAATGATGTACATTCATCGGCATACACCTCTTCTATACTTGAAGGAAGCTCTGGAAAAATCTCGAGCCTCTTACAACCAACCAATTCAACAACTTTAAGTCGAGATAGACCATTGATGCTTGCAGATGGAATATCAACAAAGTTATTCTTCCCGAGATTCACTTCCTCCAAAGATGGCAAGAACCCAAGATTAGTTAGGATTCGTCCGTCTGAAATATTGCAATCACTTATGTCCAGCTTTGTCAATGAGCAAAGACCTGATAAATTAGGAAAAACCAGACCCATAGAGTTGTGGCCTTTCCCAAATAGCCGCGACAAAATGAGTGAACTCCATACTTGTAAACCCAAACCATTTTTACATCCCCGGAGAGATAAGTGCTTAAGGTTCTTTAGCTGAGAGATAGAGGAAGGCATTGTTCGCATGGCTGTGTCATCACAATGGAGCTCCTCTAAACCGACTAAAAGTCCTAAATCATCTGATAATTTTTCGAGTCTTGAACATCCGGATAGATCAAGTGTTCTTAGACACTTCAATCTAAAAATACTGCTTGGAAGATTCTCAAGATCCTTGCAGTTACTTAGATTTATCAAAGTTACTCCTGAAAAGTTCTCAATTGATTCGGGTAGTTCTCTCAAACCAGTTCCTTCCAAGTACACTTGTGACAAACGATTCATTTCTTCTTTTATTATCGACAACTTTTTGAGTTTTAAGCAGCCTGATAGAATCAAAACCTCAAGATTTTCCAATTGAATGATCTTCGGTAAGGTCTTTAAATTTCTACAGTTCTTCAGATTTAACAAGACTAGCCTTCTGAGATCTCTAACAGAAAAATTGATTTCTACCAAATTTACACATCCTTCAAGAACCAGCTTTTCAAGATTAGGGATGCCTGAAAAATCCGGGGTCCTTACTAGCTTCCGTGACTCACTAAGGTTGATGTATTTCAATTTTCCTAGAACCTGTCATATTGCAATTATAAGTTAGTTTGGACGAATATTCCATCGTTATGTGAAATGTTAGAAAAAGGAATAATAGATAACCTTGGAGCCTTGCCAAAGTTGTATGATTCCACTATCTTTCAACTTCAAGCCAACTAACTTTTCGCCCTGAAAACTAACAGGCAGACTTCTTGATGGATACGCGTGCCAATTGAACCACCTCAACTCACCAGGTAGGAAATTAGGGCCCTGGTGAACATTTTTGTTCTGGATACTGAGAAACCTTAGTCTGCTCATTTGTGTGAATGCTGCGCTGCTGACATTCACTTCTTGTGCAAAAGACAAGTTCAATGACATGCATTCAATCTTTTCAGTGCCCTGATTAATTAATACGCGAAAAATTGGATATATTTATAAAAATGTTCAAAAGCTAACTAATTAGAAATGATCATTTGAGCAAACACTTACCAAATCTCCAGCAAGTACATGAGAAATATGATCAGGTAGCCACAACCTACTATATCTTCTTGGATCATCGGAAGCTTCTTGACGGATAATATACCAACACATTTCTTGTATCAATTGATGCACTAGAATCCGACCTTGTGAAACCGTAATCAGAGATTTCTCCATGAGAACTTTTATGCCAATAACAGGACTAAAATTAAAACTCTCTAATATTCTTGTAACTGATTCTTTCTTCTTTCCTATAAAGAAACACACAATATCTAGTAATATTTTTTGTTCAATTCTGTTTAGTCGATTGAAACTTAATTCGAGTTTCTTCACAATTCCATCTTCTGGGATTTGTTCCAATCGTTCCACTTCACTTGTCCATTCATCCAAATCTCTTCCATACAAGAAACTTCCGAGGACTTTCAAAGCCAACGGGAGTCCATCACAATGCCTTATAATTTGAGCTGAAACATCCCTAAATTCATCCATAAGACGGTTTTTCTTGAAGGCATATAGCTTAAAGAGCTGCAAACTTTCGTCTTCATTTAACGTTGTCATTCTGTATATCTTTTCTACCTCATGTTCAACAAGCAAGTGCTTATCTTTAGTTGTTATGATAACTCTACTTCCATGACCAAACCATTCATGTTTCCTCGCTAAAACATCTAACTGATCTACATGATCAACATCATCAAGAACTAGAAGAACCTTTTTGTACTGTAATCTTTGTATCTGCATATTAACTCCTTCGTATAAATTGTTGATGTTTACATCTTTCATGACAAGGATCTCAGAAAGAAGTATAGCTTGCAAATGCTCTAGGCCTTGTTTTGCAGAACGGTCTCTAACTTCATGAAGAAAACATGAACCTTCAAAGTGACTCCGAATATTATCATAAATGACTCTCGCTAGAGTTGTCTTCCCAACTCCACTCATTCCCAATATTCCAACGAAACGAACTCCACCAGACCCCATGCCAAGCATTTTATACACTTTTTGCATATGTGACTCGATTCCAACAAGATTTTCAGCGTTTTTCATGTGTCTCTGACTACCCAATCTAGCCATTACATCTTCCACAATTTGCTTTATCACTATAGCTTCATGCCTGCATACCACAAAAGATATCAATGATTTTATTTTGTATGCTTTAGTCACTATTTTTGGTAGGGGAAATTCCTCATTGGCTAAGACCTCTTTTGTTTGCACTTAATGAATGTCTGAATCTTAATCACTCAGATTCTGAATCTTAATCATTCAGATTCAACCCATTAATTTCATTTGTTTCTTTTTTTTAAAAACCTCTGAATGGATTTGAAAACAACTGAACTGAACGAATCAAATCTGTATTCAATATTTGCATAGGTGGAAAGTAGAAAGTATTCAAAGAAAAATTTGAATTGTGTACAAATTGGTCAAAATTATTTTTTCTTCATACATACCAAACACACTCTTGGAGTAAGTTATTTGATATTCACACAGGTGGAAAGTAGCAAAAATTCAAGAAATAATTAAATTGTGCATAAATTGATAAAAACATATTTTCCTTCATATATTACCAAATACACTCTTGGATTAAGACACGTGAAAAAGTAGCAAGTATTTAAAGAAATAATTGAATTGCGTACAAATTGATTTGATGAATACTTACGCATTGGAAGTATTTGGCAAATCCCAACCAGATAAATTAGCTGCTTCCTCTAGTGCTCCTCTCCATTTTTGTACCTTGAAACAATCTTCATAATTGTTAAATGCTTCTTCAAAGCTCGATTTTTGTTTCCTTACTGTTGATGGATCTACATCATAAAACACCGGAATAACAATTTGTCCTTTCACGTTCTTGCATTCCATGATTTTCACTACTTCATCCAAACACCACCTCGAATTAGCATAGTTCTTTGAGAAAATAATCAAAGATATGCGCGATTCTTCAATTGCTCTCGTAAGTTCTGGTGAAATAAAATTACCTTTCTCTAATTTATCGGCATCTTTGAACGTGTTGATCCCTTTTTGTTGAAGAGCAACATAGAGATGATCAACAAAAGTTTTACGTACATCTTCACCTCTAAAACTTAGAAAAACATCGTAACTCCATCGAATAATTTCGGGAGTTATTGGAAGCAAAGAAGTACTACTACTACTTTTTTGTTGATTCATTTTCGTGGCTAAATGAAGATAACAAAAACTTGGTTATAAATATACTAATAATTCGCCTATAATATATCTATGCAAAGACTTAAATAACGAGCATGTAATAAATAAAATTAAGTAATGATGTCAAGTTTGAAGGTGACTTCATTATTTATCATTTATACACGCAAAAATAAATGTGTGTGGCGTAGAAAGTTGTAAAATTAATTTTTGCTAGAGGAATGAGTCAATGATAAAGTCTATGGTGAATGTGATGACCCAATTATAATTAAAAAATATATAATGTTGTCGTTGTCAAAATCATCTAGATGCTTGATTGACTAAGCTAACATACAAATTAATGAATCTACCCAGAAATTAAGCCTGATATATAAATAGCCTCTTAAACTATTTCATATATTTCACTTGAACACCTCAATTAAACGTGATAAGAAAACCTTTATTGTGTCAATTGGACACAAAATTCATAAGCAGCCAAACACAAAAAGTGCAATTAACACACAAAAATTGTTTGTCCACTTTAACCAAAAAAAAAAATTTACCACACCTAACGCTTCCTCAATTCATAACGGAAATCCTCATAAAAAAAGTTTAGAATTTTTTTTTGAGTGCTTTGAGGCGCTAGATCCAAGGACTAATACACACGAATAACCATGAAAGTCACTAATTCCTAAAAGTTGGCTTGCAAATGCCAAAATATGTCTGAAAAAATGGTGAGACTATATGTAACACTTCATCAACTCATTACGGAGGTCCTCAAGTTTTTTTTTAGAAAATTGTTTTGGGTATTCCTAGGCGCCAGATCCATGGGCTAATACACATGAAAAATCAAGAAAGTTGCGTAATTCCTAAAAGATGTCTTGTAAATGCCAAAATATACCTGAAAAAAATGGTGGGATTGTACGTAACGCTTCCCCAACTCATTACAGAGATTCTCATAAAGTTTTTTTTAAAAAGAGTTTTAGGTGCTCCAAGGCGCATGATCCATGGGCTAATACACACGAAAAACCAAGAAAGCTTGTAATTCCTAAAAGTTGACTTGTAAATGTGATAATATGCTTGAAAAAAATTGTGGGATTGTACGTAATGCTTTCCCAACTCAATCTAATGGTCCTCAAGAAGTTTTTTCAGAAAAATAAATTTTGGGTGCTTCGAGATGCCAGATCCATGACTAATACACACGGAAAATTGAGAAAGTCGCGTAATTCCTAAAAGTTGGCTTGTAAATGTGAAAATATGCCTGAAAAAATCGTGGGACTGTACATAACATTTCTCCAACTCATTACAGGGGTCCTCATAAAGTTTTTTCAGAAATTTTTTTTGGGTACTCTGAGGCGCCAGATCCATAGGTTAATACACATGAAAAAACAAGAAAATCACTTAATTCCTAAAATTTGGCTTGTAAATGCGAAAATATGCTTGAAAAAATGATGGGACTGCACGTAACGCTTCCCTAACTTATTACAGAGGTCCTCATAAAGTTTTTTTAGAAAAAAAAATTGGGTGCTCCGAGACGCAAGATTCATGAGCTAATACACACGAAAACTTAAAAAGTCGCGTCATTCATAAAAGTTGGCTTGTAAATGCAAAAATATGCCTGGAAAAAAAAGATGGGTTGTACGTAATGCTTTCCCAACTCATTACGGAGGTCCTAATAAAGTTTTTTAAAAAAAATTCAGCTTTGAGGCTCCAGATCCATGGCCTAATACATACGAAAAACCAAGAAAGTCGTATAATTCCTAAAAGTTGGCTTGTTAATGTGAAAATATGCCTGAAAAAATGGTGGGATTATACGTAACGCTTCCCCAACTCATTACGAAAGTCCTCGTAAAGATTTTATTAAAATTTTTTTGGGTGCTTTGAGCGGCCAGATCCATGGGCCAATACACACGAAAAACAAAGAAAGTTGCGTAATTTCTAAAAATTGGCTTGCAAATGCTAATATATACCTAAAAAAAATTGTGGGACTGTACGTAACACTTCCCAACTTATTACGGAAGTCCTCATATAGTTTTTTTTTTAAAAAAATTGAGTGCTCCGAGACTCCAGATCCATGTACTAATACACACAAAAAACCAAGAAAGTCACGTAATTCCTAAAAATTGGCTTGTAAATGCAAACATATGCCTGAAAAAATGGTGAGACTGTATGTAACGCTCCCGAACTCATTACGGAGGTCCTCATAAAATTTTTTAACAAAAAAATTATGGGTGCTTCGAGGCGCCATATCCATGGGCTAATACATACGAAAACCCAAGAAAGTCGCGTAATTTCTAGAAGTTTGCTTGTAAATACAAAAATATGCTTGAAAAACAGTAGGACTGTACGTAGCGCTTCACCAACTCATAACGGAGGTCTTCATAAGTTTTTTCAGAATTTTTTTGGGTGCTTCGAGGTGCCAGATCCATGGGTTGATACACACGAATAACCAAGAAAGTCGCGTAATTCCTAATAATTGGCTTGTACATGGGAAAATATGCCTGAAAAAAATGGTTGGATTGTACGTAACTCTTCCCCACCTCATTACGAAGGCCCTCATAAAGTGTTTTTAGAATTTTTTTTGGATACTCCAGGGTGCCATATCCATGATCGAATAAAAATGAAAAATCAAGAAAGTTGCATACTCCTAAAAGTTAACTTGTAAATATGAAAATATGCGTTAGAAAAATAGTGAGACTGTACGTAACGCTTCCCAAACTCTTTACGAATATCCTCATAAAGTTTCTTTAGAAAAAAAACTAGGTGCTCTGAAGCGCCAGTTCAATGGGAAATATATTCGAAAAACAAAGAAAATCACATAATTTCTAAACGTTGGCATGTAAATGTCAAAATATGCCCGAGAAAAATGGTGGGACCGTACGTAACACTTTCTTAACTCATTACGGAGATCCTCATAAAGGTTTTTCAGAAAAAACTTTTTGGGTGCTCTGAAGCGCCAAATTCATGGGCTAATACACACAAAAAAATCAAGAAAGTCGCGTAATTTCTTAAAGTTGGTTTGTAAATGCGAAAATATGCCTGAAAAAATGGTGGGACTATGCGTAACGCTTCCCAAACTCAAAACAGAGGTCCTCATAAAGTTTTTTAGAAAATAATTTGGGTCCTTCGATGCACCAGATCCATGGGCTAATACACACGAAAAACCAAGAAAGTCACATAATTTCTAAAAGTAGGCTTGTAAATGCGAAAATATGCCTAAAAATGATGGGACTGTATGTAACGTTTTCTCAACTCATAACGGAGGTCCTCATAAAATTTTATCAGAAAAATATTTTGGCTGCTCTGAGGTGCCAGATCCATAGGCTAATATACACGAAAAATCAAGAAAGTCGCGTAATTTCTAAAAGTTGGCTTGTAAATGCGAAAGTATGCTTGAAAAAAATAATGAAACTGTATATAAAGCTTCCTCGACTCATTACAGAGGTGCTCATAAGGTTTTTTTCAGAATTTTTTTTTGGGTGTTCCGAGGCGCCAGATAATGGGCTAATACACACGAAAAACTAAGAAAGTCGCATAATTCCTAAATGTTGGCTTGTAAATACAAAAATATGCCTGAAAAAAAATGAGACTGTACGTAGAGCTTCCCCAACTCAATATGGAGGTTCTCATAAAGTTAGTTCAGAAATTTTTTTTGGATGCTCCGAGCGAGCCGCCAGATCCATGGGCTAATACACACGAAAATCAAGAAAGTCGATTAATTCTTAAAAGTTAACTTGTTTTTTAGAAAGGTCCTCACAAATGTTTTTTAGAAAAAAAATTAGGTGCTCCGAGACGCCAAATTCATGGGTTAATATACACAAAAAATCAAGAAAGTCGCATAATTCCTAAAAGCTGGCTTGTAAATGCCAAGATATGCCTAAAATGGTGGGATTGTACGTAACGCTTCCCCGACTCATAACAAAGTCTTCATAACGTTTTTCATAAAAAAAATTGGGTGCTTCGAGATGCCAGATCCATGTGCTAATACACATGAAAAACCAAGAAAGTCGCGTTATTCCTAAAAGTTGACTTGTAAATGCGAAAATATGGCTGAAGAAAATGGTGGGAATGTATGTAACGTTTTCCCAACTCATTACAAATGTCCTCATAAAGTTTTTTCAGAAATTTTTTTTTGGATGCTCCGAGTTTCTAGATCCATGGGCTAAGACACACGAAAATCAAGAACTTCGCATAATTCCTAAAATTTGACTTGTAAATGCAAAAATATGCCTGAAAAATGGAACAGTACGTAACACTTACCCAACTCATTATGAAGGCCCTCATGAAGTATTTTCATATAAAGATTTTGGGTGCTCCTTGGCGCCAAATCCATGGACTATACACACGAAAAATCGAGAAAGTCGCGTTATTTCTAAAAGTTGGCTTGTAAATGCGAAAATATGCCTGAAAAAAGGGTAGGATTGTACGTAACACTTCTCCAAACTCATTACGAAAGTCCTCATAAAGTTGTTTAAAAAAAAAAATTAGGTGCTCCTAGGCACCAAATTCATAGGCTAATACACACGGAAAAACAAGAAAGTCGCGTAATTCCTAAAAGTTGGCTTGTAAATGCAAAAATACGCTTGAAAAAATGGCGAGATTGTACGTAACGCTTCTCCAACTCATTACGAAGGTCTTCAGAAAGTTTTTTCAGAATTTTTTTTTGGGTGCTCGAGGCGCCAGATCCATGGGCTAATCCACATGAAAAACCAAAAAAATCGCGTAATTTCTAAAAGTTGGCTTGTAAATGTGAAAATATGCTTGAAAAAAATATTAGGACTGTACATAACGCTTTCCCAACTCATTACGAAGGTCCTCATAAGGTTTTTTTTTAAAAAAACTTTTGATTGCTCCGAGGCGTTAGATCCATTAACTAAACAACAACAACAACAACAACAATAACATACCCAGTGAAAT